GCGCGGCGGGGATGAGGTGGCCCATGCCTTCCTCCTGGTGCACACCAAGCTGCTGGCCTTCTACTCCAGGTGTGCCCGGCCCCAGCCCCGCCATCCTCCCTGAGGCAGCCTCTCACCCTCCTGGCTGACTCTTCCCTTCTCTGTCCCACAGCCGCAATGCCAGCTCCATCCGCCCCGCCGACCTGCTCAGCCTCATCCTCCTGGTGCAGGACCTGTACCCCAGCCAGAGTGCCGAGGAGGAGCTTGGTCCCCAGGTGCTCCAGAGCAGGGTGTGGGGGGCAGCAGGTTGGAGTGCCCCTGCAGGGTGATGCCTTTGGTGGCCAGGGCTTAATTTTTTTTGTCCTTTTTTCAGAAGCCTGTGGCAGGGAAGGTGCTCCCCCAGGGACCCAAGAGAAGCGAGAGCATCCCCATGAGTGGGCCTGGCTCCCATGGAGCTGTGGAAAAGGACTCAGATGACCAGGTGAGTCCCTGGGATCTGGAGCTGCAGGGTGGGACACTGGCTGGGCTGCCTGCATCGCTCTCATCTCTGACCCAGCTGTCCTTGCCGGCAGGACACAGACGATCTCTCCGTGCCCGAGGTCTACTACACGCCTGAGCCCTCACCGGGCAGGCACAGCACGGGTGAGTGCCCAGCCAGGCAGCAGCCTTGCCCTACATCCCCAGCCCCACAGAGGCTCTGGGGCTGCATGGGGGCCTGGCGGGGAGGGTCCCCTGCCATGCTCCCCACAGGCAGTGAGAGCTGGTCGGAGGGCGCGGAGATGCTGGGCACCGGGGAGGCAGACACTGCAGATGTCCAGGTGAGCAAGGGGTCCTGCGGTCCCTCCCAGCTCTGCACCTCCCCAGCCTGTCCTGGTGCTCTTCACAGTCTTTGGTCCTCATCACTTGCTGTGCTGCAGCTGTGGGTACCTAAGCCTCTAGGGTTGGGGATGCACCCCATGTCTCCTGTGTTGTGCATAACCCTGTGAGGGCTCTGACCACGCTCCCTGGGGCATTGCTTATGGTCTCCCTGGCCAGAGCTGTCAGCACAGAGGGGCCGGGGCTGTCTCAGAGCAGGCTGGTGTCTCCCTCTGCTGCCTCGAGGCTTTTTGGGCTGCTCCCTTGCCGGATGCCGGAGAACCTCACACACGCTCTGCGAGAAGTGCTGGCCTTGGTGCGAGGTGTTTGCAACCTGTGTCTTTGCAAGCTGCTTCCCCTCTATCTGCTACTCTTTTGGGGTCCCTGGGCACTTCCCTCGCTGCGGATCTTTTGCTGCCTGGCCCTTCCAGCTCCCTTGGTTCAGTTGTGCCCAGTTGCAGCTTTCATGGCATTGCTGTGTCCCTCCAGAGCATCCTGGACTGGCGCGGGCTGTCTTGTCCCTGTGGGGAGCTGAGCATCTCCCTTCTCTTCCCAGATGGCAGAGGACTTGCTCCAGACCTTGGGGCCTTTGGTCCCTGAAGCTTCAAACCCCAGAAGGATCTTTCTGGACGCCAGCCTGCGGGAAGGTTACTGCCCCTTGCTGCCGCACACCATGCACTGCCTCCCGCTCTGGCCAGGCATCTCCCTCGTCCTCCTGACCAAGGTGAGCTGCCTCTAGGGCGAGGGAAGCGATGGTGGGCTGGGTCCTGGCTGACCCACCTCTCCCCTCCCCGCCAGGGCCCCATGACCCAGGTGGCCATCACCTTGTACCAGCTGCTGGATGGTTTCTTGGTGCTGGAGAGGAAGCTGGAAGAGGGGCCAGAGGCAGGAGCCCCACGCTCCTACCCGTTCCTGGCCGAGCTGCGGCAGCGCATGGACAAGTTTGTGAAGAAGCTGAGCGGGCAGGACATCCAGGTGGGAGTGGGGACACGAGCACCATGTCTTGCTGTCCCCACAGCCTGGCACCGAGCCCCATCTCTCTCTAGTTGCAGAACACCTGGGGGGACTTCAAGAACAAGATATTTTCCCGGAGCGAGCCTGGGAGCTCCCTGGAGTGAGTATGGGGTGGCCAGGGAAAGTCTCTGGGGCAGGCGGGGACCCTCCCCAGCCCAGGGGGCGGCACGGCTGTCCCTGTGGCGCTGGGGACCCAGAGGACAAACTCGGCGCCATCCGTGTCTCTCGGCTCAGGCTGCTGCAGGCAGCGGCCAACGTGAAGCGGCAGGGCTTCTTCCTCGCTCGCCAGCCCCATCCTGGCCTCCACCGGCCACGGCCTGTCCCAGGGGCTGCGGGACCGTGCCCAGAAGCTGATGAAGTGAGTGCATGGGGGTGGTCAGCATCCCAGAGGGGCTGTCCCACACCCAGCTGTGCTGGGGCATAGGGCGTCCCCGACCTCTCACCACCCCTCTTCTCGGCAGGGAGAAGCTGCTGGACTGGCGGGACTTCCTGCTGGTGAAGAGCAGGCGCAATATCACCATGGTGTCATACCCATCCCTGCAGCTGGGAGCCCAGCAAGGAGGGATCTGGAAGGGGGTAGCAGAGGTGGGAGTGGGACCCTGTCCCCTCAGCACTGGGGTCAAGGGGAGGAATGTGGTGGGCGAAGGTGGTTTCCCCAAGGCTCAGGGGCTGTCCTGGAAGGGCACCAAAGTTGTTGGATACCCTTAACCCACCACACGTACCTGGAGGACTTCCCTGGCTTGGTGCACTTCATCTATGTGGACCGCACGGCTGGGCAGATGATGGCACCATCACTCAGCGTGACAGAGAAGTCCAGCTCGGAGCTGGGCAAGGGCCCTCTGGCCATCTTCATTAAGAGGAAGGTACTGCTCGTGGGGCTGGGGGTGGGATGGGGACCACAGGAAGGGGTGACTGTTGGAGGGTTTTCTGTTCAGGCTTCAGGTGCCCCTTGTCCCCCAGGTCTGGTCCCTGATCACGTTGGCCCGGCGATACCTGCAGAAGGGCTACACAACACTCATGCTGCAGGATGGTGACTACTGCTGCTCCTACTTCCTCTGGTTTGAGAACGAGCTGGTATGTGGGGCAAGGAAGGGGCTGAGCCCCTCTTCCTCAGCACCTTCTGGGGGCAGGGAGCAGAGCTGTAGGCACCACCCAGCTCCGGCTCCTTGGCCGTCCCCTCCGTGCTCCTGCCCTCGGCTGTCATCTCTCCCCAGGGCTACAAGCTGGAGGTGATGGAGGTGCCAGTTCCCTCCGATGATTCTGCTCCCATCGGGATGCTGGCAGGAGACTACTACAGGTGAGCAGTCCCCAGCCCTGCAGTTTGGCACCAGGGCCTGGGTCTGTGCTGGCACGGGTGTCTCCATGAGTGGTGCTATCCTCGCTGGAACGTCGCTGTAGGGTGGTACCAGTGCTGCGGTGTCACTGGCGTTGCAACAGGCCATCTCCCAGCCTGGTGCTGTGGTCCTGCTGGCAGATGGGCACTGTGTCCTTGCCGGGGACTTGCTAGGGGGAAGGTGGTTAGAAAGGGGGTGCCAGGCCATGCTGCACATGCTGAGCCCCCCGTCTTCTCCTTCCCAGGAAGCTGCTGCGTTACTACAGCAAGAACCACCAGGCAGAGGTGGTGAAGTGCTACGAGCTGCTGACCGTGCACCTCGGCATCATCCCCTCCGAGCTCGTGGTCCAGCAGGCCTGTGACTTGGCCCGGCGCCTCTGGGAGCCCTCCCGCATCCCCCTTCTCTGAGCTGCCTCCAGCCACCTCAGGGCCGGGATTAAAGCGGTTGTGTGGGTGTTCCCAGCGCCTGGGCTGCTTTCTGTATCTGTGTGCTGTCAACCGTACCTGCAGGAAGCCATGGGCAGCCTTCCCACCCTCCAGCCTGGCTGGGGCTCCTGCTGCCTTCCTTCCCACTCCCCGTGGGCTTCGCTGGCACCCAGCAGCCTCCAGGGACAGGTGGAGAGTGGGGCTGAGAGGTTGTTGGCAAATCATCTTGCTGAAAAGTACATTACCAAAGCAGGATTTATAGCATTGGCTTGGCATCACCAACAGGCTTTGGCTGGAGAACAAAACAGCATAGCCAAACCTGCATGGAGCAATGGTCCAGGGTGCATCCCCCTTCCCCCTCGCCCCCCAAATGTGCAAGGACCTCAGGGGGCTTGGCAGGCCCTGAGGAGGTGCAGCCCATCCTGCACCCCCTTCTCTGCACTCGGGCTCCCGGACACCAGTCAGCCACGGGGCCAAGCTCAGCTGTGAACAGGGGGCAAAGCCAAGGCAGCTCATGTGCTTCCCAGGCACGCCTGGGCTCGGTGCACATGCAAACCCCCCACGTACGGCTGGGGATGGGGCTGGCCCCAAGGGGCTCCCGCAGCCGCCTCCACCTGCGCTGGCTGCTTGCTGCGGCTGGGGAGGGTGGTTCAGGGAGCACTGGACCACGGTGGGGCCTTTGCCCCATCCTGCCGGGCAGGAATTTGCCCTGCCAAGCTACAGCACTGGGTTTGAGGCCAAGCTCACCCCCAAGCTGCACCTTCTGCTGCTCTCGGGGCTGTGCTTGGGACTTGCCTGGGGGGCCAAGCTGCCCCTGTCTCACAGTGCTTGTTGGCCCATCACCCCGGCCACGTGCCCCTGGGTCCTCCCTGGAGCAGAACAGCGCTGGGGGTGCTCTCAGGCTCCCGCCTGCCTGCCCAGCCCTTTCCTGGGGTACAGGCTGGGGAGCACCTGGCATCCTGCTGAGCACCAGGCAGGATCTGACCATGTCGCCTTCTCAGCACTGGGGCTGCTCTCTGCTCCCTGCAAGTCCCCGGCAAAGCTCTGCCAGG